AGGCAAGGGGAGGGGGTTGAGTGGGTGGGTTGAGTGAATATGTGGCGTAAGTCCATGGCAGTTGCTTAGGCCACGTCAGGTAGAGAGGGAAGGGTGTAGGTGGAAAGGAGGGAAGCAAGAAAAAAGTAAAAGCAAGAAAAGTAAACGAGAAACCGCCATCAGTAGAGGACTTCCCCATCTATAAAGCTGATGCTTAGGTAAAGCTAAAAGCCAGTAAGGTAAAGCTGAGTAGGTAAAGGTGAGAGCTCTCAGCTTTACCTGAGCATCAGTTGCATAAATACGGGAGCCCATTAATGGAGACAAGCTTTGAGCAAAAGAAAAACCCGTTATCAACAAATGACTTCTCAATTCATGAAACTGATACTGAAGTAAAGCTGGAGGTGAATGCTTAGGTAAAGCTGAAAGCGAATAAGGTAAAGCTGCTTAGGTAAAGCTGAGAGCTCTCAACTTTAACTAAGCAGCAGCTTCCTCACGAGCGCCCTTGTTCTCCTCCATCCTGCCCCAATCCGTGCGCTGGAGCTGCATCTGGGACTCACCCATTACCTGCCCTCAACTGCGCCAATCGCTCCACCCAGCCGTTGTGCGATGGTAATATTACCCAGCACTCCTGGTAAGTGCCACGCAAAATCGGCGAGCCTCGTCGCGAAATAACACCAGCAGAGATGTTGGAGTGTCGGCCGAGCCAAGCTGAGTTTTAGTAATTCCCTAGCAATAAGCTTTGTGGTCGGCCCATTTATTGCTTTGCCGTTCTTACTGAGGCATCCAAAGAAATGTGGGGATGTAATTTTTGTCTAGGACGTCCCATTGAAATACTTCAGCCACTGTTTTCTGTTGACGCAGATGGGAAGCTTGCAATAAAATTGTTTTATAGTATCGTAAGTTGTCGGGTTGATGCGTTTGATAATCAGGCATATCCAAAGATGCAATTTATCCGTTGGGCTCATATGAAAGAATCAGTGTTACTGTTCGAAGATATCATATTCTGTAAAGAATTAGTTAAGTTTTTGCAACCAAACAAGCAGTTGAAGGGTGGACGTAAGTCGATGAAAAGTTCGGGGAAGAATGCAGATACCAGAGCCGTCAGTCGGCTTCCGGGAAAAGGTAATCTCGTGAAAATGATATAAAATGCAAATGCCTTCAGAAAGGACATTTGGCAAGGGCATGCAAATTCAGCAGTGCTCTCTGCTACTACTGTAGCAAATATCCCTTGTAGTTACTGATTGTCCACAATGAAATTTGTGCCCGAATAAGAGGTGAAATGTTCACTATAAGACGATGGAAAGCCAGACAGATTTGCAATGTAGCAACTGCAGAATATGGTGGTTGCATTTCATAAGGGAGCTTTGACGTATTGCATTTTTGGCTGAAAGTGCAAAATTTTCGTAAAAGTTCTCACAAATTGTCGCTAAATGCTTTCAATTTTTTGTCTTGCTTGTTGTGCCTTTAAACGCTACTGGTTTAACACAACTGCGCCTCTTCTCTTTATTCTTTCCTCGAAATCTGTAACTTCTGTCATCCTTCTGAGCTCCTTGCGCAAAATTTTATACTTCAGGCGGTATAACTCGCATTTAACGTCATTCGTCTCCTTCGAAAAACTTTCCTTATTTAAACGGTTTCCGGTCCTTCTAGTATCATTTATTGCAGCAGCAGTTTTGCATTTATTAGGATTTGCTGAGAAAAAGTTTGTAGCCTACCTCAGCAGTATCTTCTTTGGTGTTTCAGTTCTTACGTCCAGCGGCTTCGAGGAAGAGATTAAATGTTACCTGTTAGCCTGTTTGCGAATCAGCCGAAGCCTTTACAAGACGTAGCGCTGCTCTTTGTATAATGGCTACATCTATAGCCAATCTTTGTTTGTCTGTCAGGATATAGTTGATTTCGTTTCGGGATGAGGATGAGATGTTTGGCGGTCACTAGATCCAGCCTCTTTCGGCAAGTCTTCTGGAAGATGACTTCACTATGTCGAGTTTCAAATAATCGATAAATTGCTCTCTGGCCTCTGATAATACTCAGTATTAGATCTGTTATGTTCTGGCATATCTTCGCACTTGATTTGGTACTGCCGTCCCCAAGGACTGATGTGTTTGCTGTGTTTTGCTGTGGCGCTCGTGAAAGCGTGCAGTATCTTCATTTTGGATCGCCGAGGCAAGTATATATATTGCCGCAAATTTCACTGAAATTTACTGATCGGATCACGCAGTAAAAGTGCTGGGATGTCGATGCGTGACGCAAACAAATTCGTGTAAAGTGCTTTACATGTGCTCGCTTTGTCTGTTTGTTTTGTGTTCTGGTGTCTGTTTTGATTTTTACAAGTCACTATTGTGGGATGGAGTAACGGCATTTCCCTTCTGCACTTTTTCAGTCATCACTACCTTCCACCAGTAGCTGCAGTTCTCAGGTCTTCCTTCAGCTTCCCTCTTTTGTATTTGCAAAAGAGAGTGTTCGACGTCTTGAGTTTTACCTCTTTTCATTTTTATGCGTTTCTTGCATCTGTACAATGCATATTGACGAGGGGTTGTCTGTGTGTGTGTCTGTTTGTGTGTGTTCGTCTGCATCGATTTTTTATCTCGAGACCTAAGGGCTGAAAATTTGGGGACTTAATCTACATACGTGTACGGGCCTCCATCCCCAAAATGGGCGCTCTTACCTGCGCGGTACCCATGTACAGGCCCTCCAAAGTTTTTTACGGGCAAGTTACTAACTCGGGAACCAGAGAAACTGGAAAGCTGAAATTTTAAGGGGACGCTTCCCGTCTACGTAGATCTTGACGAGTTCAAACCCAGCCCTCAGGTATGCGTGGTACCCACGTACGGGCCCGTGAAATTTTTTTACGGGTAAGTCGCTAACCCGGGAATCTGAAAAGCTAGAAGACTGGAATTTTAAGGGGCGTTCCCCGTCCTCGTAGGTCTGAATGAGTTCAAACCCGGCCTTCGGTTGTTCCTGGTTCCTATGTACGGGCCCGTGAATTTTTTTGCGGGCAAGTTGCTAACTCAGGAACCAGAAAAGCTAGAAAGCTGAAATTTTAAGGGGATGTTTCTTGACAGCCCTGTTGGCCAGTCTAAATTCGTTTAGCTAGAAGTATCTGCAGAAAAAACCAGTGCCATTAGCGACAAAAACTTGCGGGGAACTATGCAAAAAACGCATCTTCGCACCAGCAGTCAGTGCGCTGGCCACTTATTCTCTCTTGCAGTATTTTCGCTGCTACAAAGATTCTCGAAACAACTATCGGGGCGCATTTGGCGTTTCTGGCCTTGGTTGTTTTCCGCCCGTCCTACGCAGTCGGTTTTCCTAACATTTGTCTTCTCCTTGTCGTGTTAGGCCTAATACGTTGACTTGCCATGTACATTGTATTTCTTTCATCAGTTTTACAAAAATACTTTATTTTCATATTCGAACATGAGAATTTAAATCCAGTTTCTAGCTACGGCCACGCTTCACGTACGAACAGGCAGAGGTATCGGCGGGAATTAAGCGTAAGGATCAGACAGATTAGAAGGCTAAAATTTTAGAATGTTTCTTGGCGAGCAAGCTGAAACATTGAATTCAGCTTCTTATGCCTAGGTGCCACGCACGCACACGTGAGAAGTACCGTTCGGTTGCCCTTCTGACTTCGTGACTCGAATCAGAAGGCGTATTATTTTTGATATGTTTCAGGTAAAATGTGCTAATTATGGATTTTATTTTGTGCTTGTGAGGAACTGTAAAAGAGAATGCATGAAAGCAAATCAGTGCGTGTGAGTTGCAGCAAACGAGCGAGGAATTGATGTATTACCTACTGTTGTTTTGCTACACTTACAAAATGAACTGGTCTGTAACTTGCGCCTTCCTGATATTGGCATATTATATTCGCTATCTGTGAGTTGCTAGGCGTCCCGAGAGGCAAAGGCAGGGCCCATCGGTTAAGGAAGTGGAGAATCTGTGACTCTTTTCTCTCTCGTTTTTCTGTTAGGAGGTCATTGCAGGTCGTGTTGAGTGTTGCCGTTGAGAGCACTTTTGACTTTTATGTGCGCTTTCAGTACAAATGATGCGTGACGACAGTGAGCATCCGGAGCCGTCAGTAAATGGTGGCCTGCGAACTGGTGCACCAAACGTGGCAAGCAGTGAGCAAAGAACAGCCCAGGACACAGCTGCAGGCCAGCAGCAAGCATTTGACACGGGTCCAGCGGATACCAGGCAAGAGTCTTTGTCATTGATACATACCAGCTTTCATCCCTTTTGTGACTTCCGTTGAGCGTCTTACTTATTTGTTTTTGACGGAAAATACATGAATATTAGCCCAAACTTGGCAGATTTAGCGATAGACACAGTTTGAGCGTAAATTTGAATTTTTGATTGTATTTGAGATCATCCACTGGCACGGTTTGGGAAAGAGGAAGGGACGCTAGCAGCGATCGCCGCGTTTGTAGACAAGATGTGCGGACGAGGGGGAAGAAGGAAGCATCCAAAGCAGGGCTTCCCAACACTTCTTTAGTCCCATTTTTATGCGTTTTTTGCA